GTGTCCCGATGATGATGATGATGATGATGATGATGATGATGATGATGATGATGATGATGATGATGATGATGATGATGCTGATGCTGATGCTGATGCTGATGATGATGATGTTGATGTTGATGTTGATGTTGATGTTGATGTTGATGTTGATTGATGTTGATGATGATGGTTGACGATGATGATGGTGGTGATGGTGGTGATGATGATGGGTCCCGATGATGATGATGATGATGATGATGATGATGATGATGATGATGATGATGATGATGACGATGCTGATGATGATGATGGTGATGGTGGTGATGATGATGGTGCCCCGATGATGTTGATGTTGATGATGATGCTGTTGCTGCTGATGATGATGGTGCCCCGATGATGATGATGATGATGATGATGATGATGATTATGATGATGATGATCCTCATGATGTTGATGATGTTCAGATGATGGTGATGATGATGAAGATGATGGTGATGATGGTGTCCCGATGATGATGATGAGGTTGATGATGATGCTATTGATGATGATGGTGATGATGATTGATGATGGTGTCCCGATGATGATGATAATGATGATGATGACGATGATGGTGTCCCGATGATGATGATGTTGATGATGAGGATGCTGATGAGGTGATAATGATGATTTTGACGATGGTGGCCCAATGATGGTGATGATGATGCTGATGTTGATGGTGATGATGGTGTCCCGATGATGTTGATGATGATGATGATGATGATGGTGATGATGATGATGGTGTTCCGATGATGATGATGTTGATGATGATGTTGCTAATGATGAGGATGATGGTGTCCCGATGATGATGATGATGTCGATGATTTTGTTCATGATCATGATGATGAGATGACGACGATGATGGTGGTGTTCTGATGATGATGATGGTGTCCCGATGATGTTGATGATGATGTTGATGATGATGATGATGTTGTCCCGATGATGATGATGGTGATGATGATGTTGATGATGATGATGGTGATGAGGTGATGATGATGATGATGGTGTCCCGATGATGCTGATGATGATGATGATGTTGATGACGTTGATGGCGATGATGTTGGTGATCATGATGATGATGACGTTGATTGTGATATCGATTGTGATATTGATAGTGAGATCGATAGTTCGACCGAATGTGAGATCGATTGTGAGATCGATAGTGAGATCGATTGTGATATCGATAGTCAGATCGATTTTGAGATCGATCGAATGAAATAGATCGAGTGAGATCTATTGTGAGATCGATCGAGTGAGATCGATCGAGCGAGGCCGATAGTGAGATCGATAGTGAGATCGATAGTGAGACCGATCGAGTGAGACGTTGGTTCCTCCCCCCCCGAACCTCCCTATCACCCGAAGGGTGGTCGTATAGGTAAGCTCCGAAGCGGGCGCTTTCTGGCCATACCGCCCGTGAAGCGATCAGGTATTACAGTATGGCTCTGTACTACATGGCCGGGTCGGATGCACGCCTCCAGGGAGGACACGTGGTGCCAGTATGGAGCCTCGCGGGGCAGAACAAAAAAACAAGTCGGGACGGGAGGTGGGGTCGGGTTCGCATGTGGCCTCCTGCTACCCTCGTCAAAATTGACCTCAGAAATTGCAAGCACGCCCCTGCGATGTCGGCGCGCCCTTCAATGTTGCTAGACGCCCCTCCAATGTCGGGGCCAGGGCAAAGGTGGTCTGACCGGATCGACTCGGAAGTTCGATGATGATCGACATTGGAGGGGCGTCGCATACAAGTACCTCGCAGTCACCGCTATTCTGCCCGGTATCTCCCCACAAACAGTTCAGCCACCTGAGACATTTTTGAGGCTCATTTTGACGAGGGTTGCAGTGGGCTCGTCCGCCGATCCCTCCCCAGAGCTCTCCGGAGGCTTCTGGCGCTCGAAGTCTCCAGGAGGCCCCCGGCCCCGCGGAGGGAGGCCGCGCTGCTCCGGGAGGCCCCCCTCGGAGGCTAATAGCCGGAGCCACGGGCGCCGGAGATCGCCTCGCAAGCTCTCCGTCTCCGACCGCCAGCAGCCGCTCCTCGGGGGCAGCAGCAGGGGGGGAAAGGCACAGGTCAGGGGGGAGAAAGACACACACACACAGGCACAATCAGTCGCCGATTTCCCAGAACATCGGAGGTTGGGGGGTGGCATCGCAGTGGAACGGAGACCCCCAACCAGGATCGTGCGTGCGGGCGAGGCGACGCTGCGTGGGCGCGCGCGAGGAATGAACCCGCCGTTGTTAGGGCGAAGTCAAGACAAATGATTCTCCCCCGTCCGTCCGTCCGGCGGTGGCTCGCGGTGTCCCGCGGTGTCCCGTGGTGTCCCGTGGTGTCCCGTGGTGTCCCGTTGAGTGAGATCGATATTGAGATCGATATTGAGATCGATGTGGTGCCCCGAGGTGTCCCGTGGTGTCACGTGGTTTCCCAAAAAGTGAGATCGATAGTGAGATCGATAGTGAGATCGATAGTGAGATCGTCAGGTGTCCCGTGGTGTCCCGTGGTGTCCCGTTGAGTGAGATCGATAGTGAGATCGATAGTGCGACCGATAGTGAGATCGATGTGGTGTCCCGTGGTGTCCTATGGTGTCCCGTTGAGTGAGATCGATAGTGAGACCGATAGTGAGATCGAGAGGTGGCCCGTGGTGTCCCGTGGTGTCCCGTTGAGTGAGATCGATAGTGAGATCGATAGTGAGATCGACAAGTGTCCCGTGGTGTCCCGTGGTGTCCCGTTGAGTGAGATCGATAGTGAGATCGATTGAGTCAGATGTTGGTTCCCCCCCCCTCTCCCCTCCACAACAGGCTTATCACTCGAAGGGTGGTCGTATAGATATGGGAAACTATGGGAAGTGGGGGGGATGACAAAAACCCGGAAAATGTGGGAAACTGTTGGGAATCTTGTTATTTGTGTCTATTTATTTGTGTGTCCCAGGGCCCCTTCAATAAGGGGGGATGCATCGACCCCCAGTCGCCCATTGACCGCCAATAGGGGCCCGATAGCCCCAACCTGCCCAGGAAGGTGCGGTTTCACGATCGGGGGCCTATCGCCGATCTATCGGCGATGTATCGCCGATTCAATGTCGATGCATTCCCCCCTGTGCCAGTTCCCCCCTGTCGTTGCCCCTCAGCTCCAAACGGCTCCCCCGCACCGCTCCCAGGGTTGAGGCGGGCATGTCCCCCGACAGGGAGGGATAGTCAGGAGCAGTAAGACTAAAATGATCTGGTGACGTTTTTTCGTGCTCTGGTGGCTACTCTTGATTTTTATGTTTTGACTCGTTTTTGTTTTTCTTCCAAAATCCGCCTGTAGGAGGACATGCCCGACCTAGTCCCAGGGTCATCCGTGCCAGTTTTTCGAGCTGCGCCCAGCCGTGGCCATGATCCAGGCCTCCCAGATTGGGTCCGAGCTGGTGGGGTCGGCGGAACGCGCCGCACCGCCGATGCATCGTCGATGCGGCCTGATGTGGAGCCCGCTCTTCTCCACGCCGACGGCGCCTGTGTGTCGCCGACGTCGCCGGTACATCGCCGATGCGCCAGAGATGTACGTATTGGCGATGCGGCACGATCCTCCGACCCCATCTGCTCGGATCCCAAGAACAGTATAAGAAGAAGACGAACCGTTACACATAATCATAGTAATAATACTAATAGTATAAAGATAATAAGAATAGTAATACTAATAATATTATTAGAAAAGAAAAAGAGCAATACTAATAACAATAGTAATAATAAGAATAATACTGAGAATAATAATAATAGTAATAATAATATTAATAATAATAATAATAATGATAATAATAATAATAAACAACACGAGCAGCAGCTTTCCGAGGTCCGCGCGGACCTCCGGCAGTTTGCGCGTCTGAAGTCTTTTCTCTCAGCGTATGCAGTCAGCTCGCATGGTATGGATGGGCAACCTTCCCAGGGGTACCCTTGCATCTTTGCCTCCTCCGTCCATCCTTGGCCACTTTCATGGGCCGCACCCCGCTCGGAAAGCTTCGAAATGGCCGTCCAAGGCCCTTGCATCCTTACCGTGCGTCCTTACTATACGGGTTGGCTGTAGAGGTGTTGGCCGCCTGCTGCGGGGCTGGAGGCGCGATCGTCGGCCAAGGCGGCAGCAGGCAGTCGGCCCAGGGATAGGTCGATGGCAGTCGGCATCGGCTTCCTCCTCCTCCTCCTCCTCCTCCTCCTCCTCAGCCTCCTCAACCTCCTCCTCCTCACCCTCTTCCTCCTCCTCGGCCTCCTCCTCCCCCTCCTACTTCTCCTCCTCCTTCTCCGCCTGCTCCTTCTCAGCCTCTTCCTCCTCCTCCTCCTCCTCCTCTCCTCCTCCTCTCCTCTTCCTCCTCCTCCTCCTCCTCGGTCTCCTCCTCCTCCTCCTCTCCTCCTCCTCCTCCTCCTCAGCCTTCTCCTCCTCCTCGGCCTCCTCGGCTCCTCTTCTTCCTCCTTTGCCTCCTCTTTTTCTCCTCCTCTTCCTCCTCCTCCTTTTCCTCCTCCTCCTCCTCGGCCTCCTCCTCCTCCTCTTCCTCCTCCCCTCCTCCTCCTCCTCGTCGGACTCGTCGGCTCCTTCATCCTCCTCCTCCTCCTCCTTCTCCTCCTCCTCCTCGTCCTCCTTGTCCTCCTCCTCCTCTTCGCTCCTCCTCCCTCCTCCTCCTCCTCCTCCTCCTCCTCCTCTCCTCCCCTCCACTCCTCCTGCTCCTCTGCTCCTGCTCCTCCTCCTCCTCCTCCTCCTCCTCCTCCTCCTCATCGGCCTCTTCTTCCTCCTCCGCCGTCTCCTCCTCCTCGGCCTCTTCGGCCTCCTTTTCCTCCTCCTCGTCCTCGTCCTCCTCCTCCTCGCCTTTCGACATCCGTTACCCAAAATCCGGGAGGCACTGATCCCAGGGATAGGTCGATGACTCTATCTCTCTCTCTCTCTCTGCCTCGCTCAAAGGCGTCCTGCGGCAGCGGGCGACCTTCTCTGTCTCCGTCCCAGGGGTTGGGCTGATGACGATCACCAGCAGCATAAGGTTACCTGCACGCGCACGAGATCGCGCACAGGGACGTGAAGCCAGAAAATCCGCGCGCGCTTCGCGGCATCACTCCCAGATGTCGGATCGGAGATTCCTCTCTCTCTCTCTCTCTCGCTCCCGACCTCCCATACGACGACGACGACGACGACGACGACGACGACGACGACGACGACGACGACGACGACGACGACGACGACGACGACGACGACGACGACGGCGACGGCGACGACGACGGCGACGGCGACGGCGACGGGCGACGGCGACGGGCGACGGCGACGGCGACGGCGACGGCGACGGCGACGGCGACGGCGACGACGGCGACGGCGACGGCGACGGCGACGGCGACGGCGACGGCGACGACGACGACGACGACGACGACGACGACGGCGACGACGACGACGACGACGTTTTGTAGTTTGGGGGGCGTCTCTGCAGGACCTCGTCGTCACGGCTTGGGCGCGCGCGCTCGAGAGTCTGCCCGGGTTCGGAGCAGGCTGGCGAGGGGTCTGAGGGCCCGTCCCGGACACACGTCTGGGCCGGGCCCTCGCGCTGCCCCATCGCTCTCCCTGCTCTCGTGGGCCACGGCAGGCAGGGATGGGTATATATAGGGGGGTTCGGTAGCAAATCATGCGAGTCTGGTGCACCCTCTTGATTCCGTCTTTAGCGTCGATGGGCGTCTGGGAGTGAATGAGATAGCGCCGATTTAGCGTCGGCTAGCGTCGATTTGCGTCGATTTAGCGTCGATTAGCGTCGACTTAGCGTCGACTGGCGCCGATTCGCAAGAGCGGACAAGATGGTATCGGCGGTTCCCCATCCCGCCCAGGAATTTGCGAATTCGCTGTCGGGGGCCTATCGCCGATCTATCGGCGATGCATCGCCGATTCCAGGTCGATGTCTCCCCCCCTATGCCAGTCCCCCCCTATCATTGCCCCGCCTGCGGAGGGGTGATGAACATCCCCCTCGCGCACTTGAGGGGGATGTTCATCACCCTCCCGCCCCCGGAATCAGTGTTGATTTTAGCAGGGGTGGTTGCTTGGGGGCTCGAACACATCTGTCTATCCATGCCATGGCGCACCCTCAATATATTAATCGAGCCGAACGAAAGGAGGGGATAGGGAAAGGGGGGTGGGGTACGAAATCTGCTGCATGCAGCTGGTTTCGGCCCCGCCGCCGGGCCCATTCCTCGATACATGGGCGCCTCCCGGCGCCTGGAGGCGCTGGGAAAAGCAGCTGCGTGAGCTGATTCTCTGCCCTATCCTTTGCCGTCCCCCCCCCCCTTGGCGTTCCCCCGTGCGTTCATTCTGGGGGTGTCCAGGGGGGGTACCTTGCGCCGCAGGGGTCGCGCAGATTGTCCGGGTGCGGTCGCCCCCTCGCTCCCCGCTCCTTTCCCGCTCTTCGGACGGGGCTAGGACTACGTCGGGCCTGTCCCTCCTACAGGGGGGATGTTCGAATTTTTTTTCTTCAAAAATAGTTTGGGGACGATTTTTTATTTTTTTTACTGTTTTTGACCATTTGGGTTTTTTTTGGGGGCAATTTTTATATTTTTCGCTGAAAATCCCCCACTAGGGGGACAGGCCCGATCTAAGGCTAGGACGAGGATAAGTCCGTTGCAGAGCGTTCCGGAACGCTCTTAGAGCGTTCCGGATGACTCTGAGAAGGCCGCGGCGCCCGAGGCATCTTCCATGTTCCCCGGATCTCAGAAACCTTCGATTCATCCTCACCCAAATTTATATTCGTCCTGGCTTCGTCTTGCGCTAATCCCCTCCCAGGAAGAACAAACGCCGACGCAAGACACAAAGAGCTCGGAGGTCCGCGCTGGTTCCCGGGAGATCGGCGCTGGGGCCCCCTCCCGCCCAGGGACGTGTGGATTCGCTGTCGGGGGTCTATCGGCAATGCATCGCCGATTCCAGGCCGATGTCTCCACCCCATGTGCCAGTTCCCCCCCTATCGTTGCCCCTCCTGCGCCCTTCGCGCTTCTCCCCGCCCAGGGAAAACGGGCACTGGCGCAAGACGCTTCCAGCTCGGAGGTCCGCGCGGGCTCCTCGGAGATCGGCGCTGGGGCCCCCCAGCAGCGGCGCCTCCGTTGGGCCGCCCCCGGCCGAAGGCGAGGCGGGGCCGGAAGCACGCCAGGGGGGTGCCCCAGCGGCGATGCGAGAACTCCGGGCGGATCTCCGAGCCGCTACGTTTTGCGTCACTGTCTGTCTGTCTCGGCGTCGCTCGCACGTGTGCCTTCATTCCCTGGCGGGGACCCTCGAGGAGCCCCCCTGCCTTTGGTGCTCCGCGGCGGCTTTTCCGCCACGCGGGCGCTCTCTTCCTCCCTCCCCCCCCGCCCCGCGGCCGCCTCCCCCTCGCCCTCATCTCCTCCCGCTCGTGCCGCCGGACAATTTCAGCGCTTGCCGTCGTCCGCCCCGCCTGAGGGCGGGTGCGGACTGCCTCTGCCCCGCTCCGCGGCGTGCAGAAGTGCCCCCCCGGCCTCCCCCTCTCCGAGGGCGGCCTCGAGGGCGCGAGAGGTGCTCCGCGCTGCGCGGTTCGGCTCCGACTCCTCCCCGTCCTCCTCCTCGCTGCCCCCGAGGGGCGGCGCGCGAGCGCGAAGCGATTCGCGCCTCGCGCGTCGCGCAGCACGAGAGCGCGAAGTGAGGCGCTCTCTTGTCACTCGCGCCTTCGCTCGGCGGCGAGCGAGGGGGGGGGAAGTGGGAAGGGGCAGGCCTTCTGCGAAGGCTCGGGAGTCCCCGGGCCTTCTGAGAAGTTGTACAATGCCTCTAGGCCTCCGAGATGGGGTCGGAGTAGATGGTGTCGGAGGATCGCGCCGCATCGCCGATGCATCGGCGATGCATCTCCACGCCGACGTCGCCGATGCCTCGCGGCGATGCATCGGCGACGTCGGCGTGGAGAAAATTGGGCCCCACATCGAGACGCATCGCTGATGCATCGCCGATGTATCGGCAATGCGGCGGGATCCTCCTACCCCATCTACTCCGACCCCATCTGGGAGGCCTCTACCAATACCTTCCCCGAAGACACCGAGAACTCCGAAGGCGCGAGGGCTTCTGAGAAGTCCCGCCGCCCTCTGAGGAGGCCTTCTCTTTCTCGTTTCCCCCCCCTCCCTCGCCGCGGACTCGCGCCTCCGCGTCCTCATTGCGCTCCCTCGCACGGGCAGGCCCCTCCGCGCTGCCGCTCCCCCGCTGCAGCGGCCGCTGCAGCGGCCGCCCGCGCCGCACAGTCGGAGGGAGGAGGAGGCTGCTGCGGGCAGCCGCGTGTAGAAGGCCAGGTGGTCCTGCCGCGGAGAGTGCTGCCAGGCGTGGCGTGGTGGGGGGGGGGCCGGCCCAAAGTGAGGAAGGGAGAGAGACAGCAACAGAGAGAAAAAGAGGCGAGAGGGAGGCAGAGCGAGTTCCGGGAATAAGGTCGAAAGGGAAACGTAGACCGATGTACAAATCCCATCTCCTGCGTTTGCAATCTGGGGGGGGGGACAATACCCTAGACTGGGGAGACCAAAAGATAACAATACCACTACTCCCCAGACCTCTCTCGGGGTGCGTTCTGACCAGAAGTTCGAGGCGAATCAGCGGTGGCGACGAGGGCCTCCCAGGAGGGCCCCAAAAGGAGAAAACGAGGCAAGGGTAGAGGTGTGGGTACCTCTTCCTCCTCTGAGATGGATCCTCGGAATTCGAACGCCCTGCACGGGGCTGGCGAATATTCTCTTCGAGAGCCACGCGGCCGATGCCGCCCTGAAGCTGATCGACTTCGGCCTCGCGACCCGCTTCAAGCCCGGCGCGCTGATGACCACGAGGGTGGGCACTGCGTACTACGTCGCGCCAGAGGCACCGGCGCGGGTGTTACAAATCACAGGCAGTCGCTGTCACGCCCGTCGGGGAGCGGAGCATACTACCCCGCGCAGCATCTGCATCCGAAGAAGAGCAAACGCCATAAACTGAAACTTTTGGCGCTCCGCGCGGATTTCTCGGATCCGCGCTGGGCCCCCGCGGCGGCGCCGCCCCTGGCGCGCTCCGCGCGCCAGGGAGGGGGGTCCAGCGCGGATCCAAGAAATCCGCGCGGAGCGCCACAAGTTTATGTTTATGTTTATGCAGTTTTTTTCCCCTCTTGAGAGCGAAGCTTACTACCCCGCGCAGCATCTGCATGTTGACATGTTGGCCCTGCGTCGCTGCATGCGCTGTACCCACCCATGTTGATCATTTCGACGTCTGCCAGGGGAGGTCAGGTATGGTCAGAACTCGACGGTTGTCATCTCAGTTCCAGTATGTTTTCCTCAGTGACTCTCTGGAAGCATGGATGGGGGGCCAGAGAAATCAGCAATTCTATCACGTGTAGATGAGGCTCACACAGAAGGACTAGTGTTGCTTGATCTTCGAATCAGGCCGAGTTCGCAGAACTCGGAACAACTAGTGTGCGCGCGACGAGTTTGCTTTGCTTTGTTTGAAAAGGCGCCGCGTTGAGCGACCAAGAGCCCGCTCATATGTACCCAGATCCTGGCCCCTAGATCCCGACATGGGGGCATGAGCCTGTCACGGCAGGTTTTGGGATGTGGAGGCACGCTTGTTAGAGCAAGGGACCCCGCCGCGCGGAGAATGCGCAGAATTCAGCCTGCCAGCTCTTTCGTTTACCTGCCCCCTTTTCCCCGATCTGGGAAGAGCAGCTCTTCTCGTGCACTCTGGATCCATCAAGCCTTGAAAGCAGTTTCGAGGCGTGGTCAAGGACAAGTGGTGCTCGGCGGACACTTTCTTGGGATGCTAACTCTGGTTGCTTGAGTCCCACCATCAGAAGTGCTGTGGGCTGATGACATGCCAGCCACCACTTTTTAAGGAGTTTGCAAGCTGAGGTCTCGAGCACTTGCGTCGGAGGCGCGGGAGCGAGCCGAGGGCGCAAGCCGAGGGCCGAGGTTCTCTCAATCATCTCTGTGCTGGACTGGCGGCTGTTTGCAGAGCTGCCCTGAGATTGTCGTTCAGGGTTCGGCGGCGACCCGGGTTATCGGCCCGCCCGCCCCCCACCCCTCCTCCCCCCGATGACCTGGCCTTGTCGGGTGCGCAGGTCCAGCGGGGGTGCGCAATGGGGGTGCACACGGGCAGACGTGCGGCTGCCCAGGGCGAAACGGTTGCAGTTAACCCGCATGGTATAGCACAGCAAGGATGAGCGATTCTCCAAGGTTGCCCCTGCGCCCATCCCCTTCGGCCCACCCTTGGCGCTGGCCGCGCCCCGCTCGCAAAGTGTCGACATAGCCTTCCGAGGCCCTTGCGTCCCGATCCTGCGTCCTTGCACGCCGGTCGTGGAAAGCAGACATCTCTGGAGTCCCAGATCCCGATCTGCTTCAAGCGCCCTCCTGCTTCAAGCACCGATGCGCTTTTGCACCGTGTTGCTATTCTCTGGGAGGGCCTGAACCCAATCTGCTCCCCCCCCCTGCCTGCATCGTGCTTTGACCTACTTCTTCCGACCGACATCTACTATACGGGTTTTTTGGGGGGCCGTCCAGGGCGGGCGCTCGAGGCTGAAGCCGTGCCTCGTCCTCCTCCTCCTCCTCCTCCTCCTTCTATTCCTCCTCCTCCTCCTCCTCCTCCTCCTCCTCCTCCTCCTCCTCCTCCTCCTCCTCCTCCCTCTATTCCTCCTCCTCCTCCTCTTCCTCATCCTCCTCCTCCTCCTTCTCCTTCGATTCTGCCCCTCGCCGTGGCCCCTGGTAGACCCGCATCCGCGGCTGCCCTCGGGCGCCCTGGGCTGGACAAGACCGCGCCACGTGCTCCGAGTGCCGACGGG